CCCATCTTCACGGAGCGAGAAGTGGCCGAGGTAGTTAAAAGTTTTAAAAATAATAAAGCACCCGGACCTGATCTAATCGAGGTCAGTGTCTTGAAGGTAGCATGTAGAACAATCCCCGGTCAGATAGTCAGGTTATTCAACGGGTGCCTTCAGTGGGGCGTCTTTCCCTCGATTTGGAAGGAGGGCTCATTACGAGTTCTTCTGAAGAGCGAGGACAGAGACGAGAAGGACCCGAAATCCTATAGGCCCATATGTCTCCTCTCTGTAGTAGGGAAACTTCTCGAAAAGCTTATTAAGCTTCGCCTGGAGGACACGTCGATGGCGCCTGATAAGGTCTCCCACCGGCAGTTCGGGTTCACGCCCGGAAAGTCGACGGAAGATGCTATCGTGGAGTTGCGGAGGATGGTCTCTGCCTCTGAAGAGAGGTATGCCGTCGCCCTGCTCTTTAATATTTCGGGTGCTTTCGACAATGTCTGGTGGCCCCTGGTCTTAGATAGCTTCAAAAATAGGAACTGCCCCAAGAACGTTTTCGGAGTGCTCCGGAGCTACTTCAGCGATCGAAGGGTGCAGATTGAATTAGGGCACGGAAAGTTTTCAAGCAGGCAACGAGGGGGTGCCCGCAGGGCTCCGTTCTCGGTCCCACCTGCTGGAATGTTATGTTCGACGGCCTTCTTAAAGAATTAGAGGAAATAGCTCCGGGACAATATGCAGCTTACGCGGACGATTTAATAACAGTAATTAGAGGAAATTCGCGAAGGGAATTAGAACTGAAGGGTCAAATAAATCGTTGATAGGATCGTAAATTGGTGCAAGTTCCGCGAAAATTGGAAATTTCGGAAAAAAAGACAGAAGCGATAGTATTGAAAAATGAAGATATATGTAGAGCACCGATTGGTAGAAGGGGAGGAGACCGCCCGGATAGGAAGCGGAAAACGAATACAAAAAAGGTAGACCTAGCAGGAAGACCCCCAACGATAAAAATAGGAGATAAAAGTATTAAATTCAAAAATTCCGTTAGATATCTCGGTGTCCATTTTGATAAAGGTATGAAAGTAGGGTCTCATTGTGAATATTTGAAAAATAAAGTAGAGTCACTATTCGCGAGATTGGGTAAGTTAGCTAGATCTACATGGGGTCTGAAATATAGGGCGCTCTCGACTATTTACAGGGGAGTGTTTGCCCCAACTGTGGCGTATGCCGCAGCGGGATGGGCAGACCTCTGTACGGAGCGCGATATTAGGAAACTACAAAGTATACAGCGCAAAGTGCTTATTCCGGTGATAGGCGCGTATAGAACGTCGTCACGGGAATCATTGTGCGTTGTCGCTGGTGCGACCCCTGTCGAAATCCTCCTCCAGGAAGGCAGGGCTAGGTATGAAATTAGAAGAGCTAGGGACACCGTGATAGGAGAAGCTAGAGTCGCAGCGACAGATGAGGATGCGGTGAAACGCATCAAGGCAGAGGGTAGGAGGATGTGGCAGGCCAAGTGGAGCTCTTCGACGAAAGGCCGTACCACTTTTTCGTTTTCAGAAACATCTTTGGGAGGATGGGCGCGCGGTGGATTCAACCTGACCGTTGGAGCGCGCAGGTGCTTACGGGTCATGGCGATTTCCGAGCACGCCTTGCGTCGCTCGGACTCGTCGACAGCGGCGCCTGTGACTGTGGCGGCGGTGAAGACACTGTACCGCACTTCCTTCTGGAGTGCGAAAGATTCGAAGCGCAGAGAGTCGCTCTGCGCGATATAGTAGGGGCTGACAGTTGGAGATGGCCGGAAGTAGCACCTTTCTTGGTGCAGACTCCAGAGGCCTTTTCCCTGTTCAGCGATTTCTGTAGAGAGTCGTTATGGATTAAGCAATCCGAGCAATAAGTAGGCCGGGGAAAAGTAATAAGTGTAGCGCGCAATATAAAAATAAAAATAGATTCTGGGCCATTTACTCGGGGTGCGTCGGAGCCCTCGGGCGTGGGAGCGCAGCCTCGTAAACTTCTCGGGTCAACTGCGTTACCGGATGGTTAGGTATAGGAATTAGTCTTCTGTTAGGTAGGATTTCCAACCTTAATATCCAATGACGTGTTTGTCATATCCTTCCCAACAATTTCATCCAAACCTTATATTTCTTCCTAACAGGGTCAGAGCGCGTGTCCAGGTACGGGACACGAATGAGCAAGGCTTCCCCGTGGTCCCCGTGGGCGTGGCTTGGGTGCAGGGGGCGGCGGCTGGGCGCGTCCATCAACGCCAGGTGGGTAGCGTGTCTTGTTCGCTTCTCCGGGTGTGCAAAGGGGTGGTTGCACCGGTCACGGCTGAACTGCTCCTCTTGCGTGCGAACCCGCAGGCGCTGCTGGATTTTTCTATCGCCCGGCTTTTGGGGTTTCGTTGGACAGTGGAGAGTATTGTAGCGTATAGCGTTTAACGCTCAGGTAGCAGGGGTTTTGTTCCTTTCGCGGTTCAACACCCTCACAATGAATGTCCCTTAGAGACGGCCATCAAGGTTGCAAAAACCGGCCAGATTATAATAGGGTGGTTCCCCTACAAGGTGGAGTTGCTCGACGCACGCCCCCTCCAGTGCCATAAGTGTCTGGAGAAGGGGCACGTGCAGGCCAAATGTCCCTCGGGCAATGCGGACCGCAGTAAATGCTGCTACTGCTGTGGCACCAAGGGACATGAGGCAAGGAAGTGCACGGCACCGGCACATTGTGTCGTGTGTCAGGCAGCAGGTTGGCCGGCTTCCCATAGAATGGGGGGACCGGCGTGCAAGGCCCCGAAAAACAGGGAAAAGAAAAAAAAGGGGGGGACTGTCCCGACACCCCCCCCCAACAAAAAAAAGGGAAGGAGGCGGCAGCGGCGATACTGCCTGCCCTGGTGGAGATTAATCTCCCACAAGAAATGGAGTGCGAGCCCACACCCTTGCAGCGTCCCGCCAATGAGGGCGCAATGGAGGTTAGCCTGCAGGAGTGACGGGTTTCGTGGACCCAAAAATGTCCACGAGATTTCTGCAGGCGAATCTGAATCACGCCCGTCAGGCCCAGGATCTTTTCATTCAGGACCTGAACGGGCGTGACGCAGGGCTGGGTGTGGTGGCGGAGCCGTACAGCGTGCCCGACTCAAACTCTAACTGGGTCGCGGCCGCTGACGGCTCTGCTGCTATTATAAGAAGGAACTCACCGCGCTCCCCCCCTTATCCATATTGGAGAAGGAGAGGGGATATGTCATCGCGCGGTGGGGTGCCCTAAGGGTGGTGGGAGTCTACGCCCCTCCTAGCATGTCTCACCCCGACTTCCTACACCTCCTGCGGTAGATGGGGGGGGGCATTCGCCGATGCCTCCCCCATCCTGTGTTAGTGGCCGGGGACTTCAACGCCTGGAATACGGCGTGGAGTTCCTGGCGCACCGGGATAAGGGGTGAGTGCGTGATGGACTGGGCGTCGGAGCTGAACCTCGTGCAACTGAACACGGGGTCCAGGAGCACGTGCGTGCA